AATCAATATCAGGTGTAACTCTCATGGTTATTATCGCAAACTTTAAAATAAATGATTTTCATAAACCAAAATAAGCCTTTACTGACTAATATGGATGCTAACTTGCTAGACCTATTCATTTGTATGCAGAATAATTGCATCACAATGTAATCCTGGCAAGTATGAAGGCAGTAGCCAATGTCATAGAGTTAAATATCTTTGGAAAAGTGAGCACTCTAACAATCCATCAAATTCTTCAATGAATATATGAGCAATCTAATACCACGGCTACATTTCTATCAAAGGTATGAACACTAGCAATTATATTCGAAATGGATCAGAACTTTCACCAACTAGAAATAAATTACATTTTTGTTATTCTTGGGGGTATAGTTGAGCTGCAAGTTATCCATTCCCAATGAGCTGGAACACAAGGATCACCTCCTTCATTTGCCCAAGCACTTTCAGCAGACATAGAGCAAATGGCAGTGAGAACAGTCACTGAAAGTGAGTACATAATGACACATCAGCTGAAGTGCAATGCTTGAAGATCATGCATCACTAACAATATGGTTAAACTCTGAGAACTGCAAATAAAAGCATTATATAGCTGGGCAAAATGGGTAAAGAAGGTGAATTATATAAAATATTGCAGAGACATCTTACCATCTTTCCAATCAGTTTTTGCAGCAATAACCTGGTATTTGCTTATCTCAATTGCACTGAGGAGTGGCCCTCGGGTAGAATCATGGGTCTTGACAAAGGAGAATGACAAAACAAAATTCAGAGTCACATTCATGTAACTGGGTTCATAAAGTCTGCAGCTCCCGTTGGCATTCTCAGCTATATTCACTACTGCATTGCTGTAGTCAGGTATGTAAGGCTGCTGCAGCTTGAATTTCCGAGTCTCATTTGGACCCAAATTCTCAATTTCAGCAAAGTATGCATAAGCTCGGGCATTGGCAGGGAAACCTTCCAGGTTTAGTCTGTAGCTCAGTACTCCTTCAGTGCCAACAACTGCTGTTTGCATAACTTTAACAGGTGGGTATTCCCTGGTCCTAATGTCTACATTCTTGGTAGTGTTGATTCTTTCTGTACCAGGGGCCTTATCTACAAGAAAATTTTGTCTTTGATCAAGATCTGACTCCCAGATTCTATCATATGGATCATCTGGATACCTATAAAAGTAGGGTACCATTACAACCAATGGCATCAAAATACTATTTACTTTTTGCAGTAGAACATGCCATCATACAAAACAATAAAATGTTATCTCAAACAATATCAGTTGTTATCTTTTAGCTTCTCCATCTATTTTCGATGAATCTAGCAGTTGCATTTGGAACTGAAAATCATATTAGGAACATTAATTCCTCCCATCAATCTATTCTCAGGTGCAAAGATAGAAGGGGAATTTACCTAACAACATCCTTGCTTGGAGCACCAAAGTTTACTCTTGCTGCCACTTTCAAGAAGAAATTATCCTCAAAATTTGTGGCATACATAGAAAGGTTCAAGGGCCGCAGCTCAAGGGTGGATATGAAAGGAGAACCAGTTGTTGCACAGCATATGCAGACATCAATTGAACTCGAAGGTGCCCTGATGATCACTTCATACACATATACCCTTGAAGCGTCAAAAATGGTCACAGTTGCCCACTCAGTTGCATCCAAGTACATCTCAAATTTTGGGTAGGCATCTTCATTTCCCTGGTCGCCATACAAAAATGTTGCTCGCACCAGGTACCTCCTTCTCTCTTGGGTCCTCAGAGTATAACAATATTTCTTGTTGTCTATAGGAAAGTCTCTGCGCCTTTCATACTGCATGGAGTACCCACTCGGATTCTCCACTGCCACTGATTTCCCATGGTTCATAATTCCCGTATCTGAAACCCATCCTAGTCCAGTACTAGGGTCAGTGTAGTTACCTGGGCTTCCACAATCTATACTGATGAACTCTGTAGAAAGAATTCATTTAGACATCAATACAAACAGAAGGTCATCATAGAATTCATGCAAAGCTCAGAGTATACCAAGACAAAATCTCTCCAAAACCCATTAAAGATAAAGATTCAGCGAGAACATACCAGAAACCTGACACAGAACAGATGATGCAAGGCATAGATATATAACAAGAAACAGTGAAAGGAAAGCCATTGAACACCCAGGAAGAAAAATTCTATCTTTTGATTTCTTTTGAGGTTTTTGAAATTTCATAATAATTTTCTAAAGCAAGAAACCGTGTCTGTGAGCTTGAGTTCAGCAACTTCCCACTCACTCCATCTTTACAACTACAACATACCTTTCACTTTTTTGATTGATGGGTTTGTGGCTTTGTGCAATGTTGAATGCAGATATGCTTCTTTTTCTCATTTTGGAATCTTTTTTTTTTTCCTAAGAAAACAAAAACTCGAAGCTTCTACCTTTGGAAGAGGGATTATGACACAAATCTCAAACAGGGAAAACGTTAAAAAAACTCAAACTTGGAGGAGGTGTTCATGTCCTTTTATGTCAGAAAATATCTGAATTACGAACCAAGCCAATCTATGGAGTATTTAATTTACAGAAAGCTAGTTAGTAGGAATTGCATGCACATCTTGTACCTATTGATGAGGTCTTTACCCATCATCAGTTATAAGATGTATGGTATTTACGAGATAGGCCTTTCTGTTTAATTTTTTTACTTAGACACTTTCTTATCCTACTAATCTTCTCTACTTTAATCTTCTTATGCTTTTCATGCAAGAAAATCTCTTTTCTTGTCCATTTGGACCAACTTGTTTCCTGCTTTTGAGCTTTACGTCTTTACAGAAAGTAAGTTGATTAAGGACTTTATAAAATCTTCAACATGGTCCCCTTGTCCATCGTAATCTATGGTAGGATTGTACTCCACTTGTTGATCTGGATTGTTCACTTAACTGGGCCACGGACATAACATAGCATCAACCCCAATCAGTGACCATTCACATGCAGCATAACTAATTGGTTAAATGCCAATTTTGATCCCTCACTTTAAAGTTTTGCATTGTTTTGGTCCCTTAACTTTTTTAATGCACTTTTTTATCTCAATTATGAAAAATGCAGTTTTTTAGTTTATTCCATTAGTTACTTTATTAAATTTATCTATATATACATATTTTTAGTTCCCCAACTTTAAAAGTTTGCACAATTTTCATCCTTTAACTTAAAACTTCAAGGACTAATAATATGTATATATAATCTTATAAACATGTTTAACAAACTAATTGATGAAATGAATAAAAATGTATTTATCATAGTTAAAGGATTACAATTGTGCAAAAGCCCAAAGTTAAGGGACCAAAATTGACATTTACTTTAATTAATTCTACTCCTATTAATAGAAGACACTTGGAGATGATTTAATTATACAATCTCTTCCTAAAAAGGAAGAGAAGGCCAAGCATTTATGGAAGTGTACAACTTCATTGAAATGCCTATGAGAGTAAAAGGCTACTAGCCTCTCACCAACTCAAATGAAATTTAGAATAAATTCTATGCATTTTTGTATGTGTTAGTGGTGTGTATGATATCATAAATGAACTAATAAGCTAAAGGTGACCTCTTATGGGGTGACTTGGATTCAAACTTGGTCAAGATCTTTTCACCTAGAAATGGCAAGCCTGAGGACTGAGGGCTCTATTTAGCCCTTTTGTTGCCTTTGGGAGATAAAAAAAGAAAAAAAAAAGGCTTTTAGACTTAATTGGTATAAGCCTCAAAATTACAAAACCAAATATTGAATTTCGCCCTTTGATGTCAAAGTATACCACATTAAGTGATCCTACACTTTTTAAAAATATTTAATTAGATCTTGAACCTCTTATTCTCATTGTTGTAATAAGGTCTCTAGCCTTATTCAAATAATCTAAGTAGGCCCTCAAGAAGTCATGTCTTTTGCTTCCAATGGGAGCATAATTATTCTTGGATATATCTTCAATTTGGCCATAAATCATTTATTTATCTTGATCACTCGTGTTAATCATGAAAAATGATTTAATTTAGTAATCACAATGTTTAAAATACTAAAATTCAATTGTCTATGTTTTATGAATGAAGAAAATATCATTCAATAATTATAAATTTTGAAATTGGTTGGCAACATAACCTGAAAAGGGCAACTTGAGAACTTAAACAATGAAAAAAGTGATATTGGCAATCATTTTCGTTACACATGAAGGAAAAAAGTGTTTCTGATGAAAATTAAGCCTATCAATATGCCAATTTCAAAAAGTAAGTTCAAAGTAAATACAAAAAAACTTGAAGCATTTACTTTCTATTGAAATCAACTTATCATAAAAAAATTTAACTATAACAATCAAAATACACGTATTCTTGTAGGCCATGTTTAGACTTCATGTTTTAGGGGCAACATTCAAGAAATTAATTTTTTATATACTAGGTGGATGTGAGAGTTACACTTTTCACGTATCTTGATAAGGGATTAACCCTAAAAAGCATGGAAGCTGATCTGAAGATAACTTCACCATCTAAACCAACCAAAAAGAAAAACTTTGCCAAATTTAATAAAGACTTAATTGAAATGTCATTGAAAGATGAATGACTACCCATGCAATTTCAAAATTGTACTTGTCAAGTCAAAATAAGTCATCTCAATTTTCTCATTACTTACATACAATGCAATCTAAATGCTTTCTCATTATGTCTTCTTTCTTTCCTTATCTCTATTAAAATTGAGCATAATTTTTTTCTTTTTGTAACAAAGTTGAGTAACAAAGTCACAAATGGAGATAATGCTAACCCCAATATGCTACTTGCGAAAAAATGGAGGCAAAGAAACAATTAATTAGGCACTCAAGGCACCCTCCTTTTTTTTTTTTTTTTCTCAATTTTGAAATTTCAACACTAAGCAACTTCTCTAATCCTACTTTTTCTCATTTTATAAAAAGTTTCTTCATAATCTTCTCCTCAACCAACATCCCACTTTTTTCTCCATCACCTAAATCCCATTATCACTCCAACAATCTAAAGTCAAATTCCCTAAAAAAAAAAAAAAAAAAAACCAATCTTTTTGTCATTCTTCATGTCTCCTTTTTTGTTTCTCAAAGGGGTAGTATTGATGTTGCAAAAACAGTTAGGAAAATCTTCTTTCAAGGAATCTCTTAAAGCTCAAGGCTGATATACAACATGTCACCAATTCATAAGCTTTCATTTGTTGATGGGTACATTATGTATGCTTAAAGCTAATTCATTATTATTTATTCATGTGCATTTTTCCATATGCTGATATAGAAAATAATTGCTACTATTTTTAATTTCCCCTACTTTTGTGGGCATTTCTTTTTCTTGCTTAATTCAATACAATCTGGTGGGTAGTTTCACTTCTATGTGAAAGTGAAATTTTATTGAAATTGACTATGACTTTAAGTTTTAAAGATGAAATCTTTGACAAACTATCTATAGACTAGTTATTTTTCATAATGCTCAATTCTAGTTATGGAAGTAGTTTTTGCACAATGACATGTTTTGAGTCTTTGAAAATATCAATGTGTACCTTAACATGATTGATCATGTATGCTTTACTTTACTCTTTGAAGTTTTATTAAATGTTGATTAAAGTAATGTAACGTTTGGATGGGATTTTTGGGATGTGGATTTTTCAAGACAATTGCTCTTCCCAGAGATTATGGTGAGAATTGCATCCAAATGAGATAATCTTATAACCCTTTTACTCCCTTCATCCTATTTTTAGTTGAATGGATAGATTATAGTCGTATGGATGTTCTCCCTAGCTTTTTAGGCCTTCTCCACATGTTTGTATACAAGGTGATTACTTATGTTTTTGCTTGTAGTTTTACCAAGCTAAAGAAGTGTTCTTTTGTTTCTTTTTTGAACTGGAAAGGTATATCTGATTATTTTGCTTTCCTTTATTTTTCCCTTAAAGAAATAGTATGAGTTTTTTATTTAGCTTGTTTTTCTTTCAATTAATTGCAATTATTTAAAGGATGCTTCATAACATTGCATAAGCATATGTTGAAGGAGTGCTAGCATTGTTCTCAAAAGAAAGGAAAACCACATTAAAAGAATTTATGGTGTGTTTCTCTACTATTTTGTGTTAGTAAAAATCCAACTTTTCTATACATATTTCCTTTACTCTTTCACTTTCAAATTCAATCACTGGACTGTACTTGTAGCTGTTATATATCCTTTCCTTAGGCAACTTGAGGGTAAGTTGATTGAATTAAAAAAAATAACAAAAGGAGCCAATGCATGGAAGTTTTAAATATAAAGAAGGTGAAAGATTGGAGAAAGTTATCTAGTAAAGATTTAGGGAGGGATGATGAATGTGGAATATGCATGGAGAACTGTACAAAGATGATATTGCCTAATTGTGGACATGTATTATGCATTTGCTACTTTCATAACTAGTATCCCTAATTCTCCTTTCAACTAATGATATTTTAAAAATTGCTAAAGCTTAATCATTTGCTAATTAACTACTAATGCTGATGTTTTGCTTTTATCTCAAGAATATTTGCTCTTAATCTTGCCCCTTTTGCCATAACAATCTAAAGAGGGCATGTTCTACAGATTTATGGGTTCTCATTAACAACAATGATAATCGACATTGGTACTCTTGCCAAAGAAAATTTGAAGCATCTCTATCTGTACATTGAAAACCTACCTCTTGCAATGCTCAACACAAATTCAATTGTATATGATTACATGTACTAAGTGTTGACCATCGATGAAGTTTGCAATATTTCACCACACAATATGCTAGCATGACAACCATCCATTATAGATAATAATCTGGTCTAAGAAGTTTCAGCTTATTAATATATGTAGTTGAACTATTGAGAAGTAGCTTTAACACAGTTGTACATAATGACTTAGTTGCTTCATATCATGAATTGAAAACTAGCTTGTAAGGTGCTTTGAAAATATAAGGAACTCGGTATTCTACAGCCTAGACAAGATCAAGAGTTATGATCCTTCATATATGTAACAAAATGTTAGATGTAAATAAAAAACAAAAAGGTATATGTCCTATGCATTCAACTTAGATTTTTGAACTACATTGTTGGAACGATTGAAAATATTAAGACATTGACATGAGATTTTTCCTAGTTGTTATCATATGATGTATATATGATAAGTATTATAAATAAATTTATCTCTTGAAATTGTCTTCTATTGTCTCATGAATTTGCATTTTGGAATTGCATATTCGTGACCTAGTTGCATCTTTAATCTATAAGCTGTCAAAATTTCTTCATGTTGGTTTTTTTGTTGGAGGCACAATTACTATATTGCTATTTCCTTTTTATGTAGAGATCGAGCTGTAAACCATATGCTTTTGGCTAAGAGCACAAAATGCCTTATTATTGAATCATATAGCTGATGTTACAATTACTATCCTATTATGATTAATGTAAAGAGCTTGTGTTTCTCAATTAAGATTGGTTAGAAAAATGCTAGTCTAGATTGTAAAAAGACCAAAGTACTCGAACG